AGCGGTAGTGTGGTGGGTTACGCAATGTGTTATGATCCCGGCGACGTGAGTGCCATTAATAAAATACATGTATACATTTGTGGCATTTCATATTTATTATAATCTGCACTGGGCATATACTTATGAAGGTTAAATATACGAATGATTTTCTATTGGGTGTGGTCATGACCACGCCCGGCCGCCTTTGTTTCTCGTATTCATTGTTGGCATACGAGACCAGATATGCTGATTTATTTTAGGCTGAGTCGACCTAGGGGGGATAACCCAAGCTGCTGGTGTTGTGCACAGCCTGGTGCTGAACCTGGCCGCTGCGAGAGGCGTGCGTGATCCGCTCTGCCGCCGCTGTCCGCATTTACGCAGCAAATGATTCCCCGAATGCCGTAACAGACTGTTTGTGAAATTGCTGTTAGCGAGCACCTATTAAGTCTGGCACAGCGCACAGCGACCCCTGTTCGATTCCCATTCACGGCCAAAACCAGTGACGATTATCTCAACCGCTCCTGGGCCTCTCCTCGGCCTCAAATGCGTACCTGGTGCGATGTGTAAACATCGCCACGAGGGAGACAAAGGCGGCCGGGCGTTGTTCCGGCCACCCACCGCACTTGCCCTTGAAAGTCTTTTAAGGCTATTCCGGGGGGGGGGGGTCTTTGTCTGTGGTCCTGTGGTCAGAACTACGTCCGGTGGCCCCTCGGCGCCCTAATGGTGCACCACAACACCAGGGAGCGTACAGCTTTTGGCCCGCTTCGCATTATTGCTACTTGATCTTAGCCGGAAATCGAACTCGGGTCGCCGGCTACGTAGCGCAGTTCCCTGACCACGACATCACCGCACCTCGCTGCCCACCAAGGTTGTCAATCCATTGTGCAGCGATTGCAGCGAAGGTGCACACGGACGTCGAGAGAGCAGTGGATCTTAACTTGGGGCGCGCGTAACCCATGGGGGGTACCACATGCCCTTTCTGGGGGTGCGAGACTTGGCCAGATCCTTTTAGAAGGTAAAGCATCGAAAACTAAAATTAATCACGGGCACGTCGGTACAACTTGATGTTGTTTCATCAATCGTATGTATTTATTAACATATATAAAAACATACGATTGGGAACCAAAGGGGTGCAAGGCTGCAGTTAAGGTCAAGAACCACTCGTCTAGAGGTACGTGACGAACCGGAGGTTGTATAGATGATGAGGGGGGAGGGGGGAGGTTTCAGAATAAGAACGCGTTCAACAAATGTTAAAGTTCGAACGAGTTCGCAACTGGAGATGCCTGTCGGCGAAACACGCAGCCGAGACGGTGTACAAAGACAGCGATTGAAGACGGACTGGAATCAACGCTTACTTAAAGAGCGAGGTTTGAGTGCTTTTGATCATGTGAAGCAGACCGTGTTTCACGCGGTATATATTATACCTGCGCGGAGTGCCCGCTCTGGCACATGGATTAGAAGCGAACATTAATAGAGAAAACCAAACAAAAACCGGGAAGGATGCAACGGAGCATGGCGAGATGAACGCTCGGAAGCACATTGAGGAACAGAAAGATGAACGCATGGATCGGAGAACACAGAGCAGCCTCATGGCACAATTCAAACTCTGAAATGAAAGCCAGCGGGCTCTGCACCGATGATGATGATGATGACCGGTGGTCGAGAGTAATGACGGCACGACAGCCAAAGGAGTGAACGCACGTCGAGTTCTTCCACCGACGAGATGGTAGTCGTGAAGTAATCGACTCGTGTGCCGGTGAGTTGTTACCATCGCAGGGTCTCGCGAAGGGGGGCGACGGCTTCTCGCGGAGGCCTATATCCATCGGTGGTTATTCAACCTCGCTGTTGATGATGGTGATTTTGAGATGTCTAACGATGCAAATGAATGCACAGCACCCCTGTGGATGTCGACAACTTGCGGCTCTTTAAGGGGCTGCTTCAGGACGTTATTTATTAAGGACCACCGTCTCGTATCCACCACGTGCATTGGCGGTTCTTGAAATATTGAGGCTTTTAAAAAAAAATCGAATTCGAAAAAATGTCTCATCTTGTTTATTGTCGTTGGCAACCCTGTTTGAGAACGTACCATGCTGTGACTGAGAGCGCCGTGCGGGTTGCACGTTCGCACGTGCCAATCGATTGGGTGCCTTGGTTCATACGAATATATCCAATGGATTCGATAAAAAACAAATTTTAATCGGTTTTATGAGTTTGTAACCGATAATGGGTTCCGAAAGCGATGACCGGTTTATCTATAAACACACGCATACACGAAACGCGCATTCACACCGGCAGTCTCGCATATACACGTTTCACACGTAACCGTATGAATAAAATATATATGAACTACGGCCGAGTTTAGATATGCACATAAACAAACACGTACAAAGATCCCCCGTATAGTCTTAACAGACTGTTGGGGCAAGTGCTGTTAGCGAGCAAATGAAGGCCGGCACGGTACACGAGGGGGTGGGTGGCCAGCACCACGCCCGGCCGCCTTTGACTCCTTAGTATAGATGTTTACAGGCTGCACCAGGTACTCATTTAAGGCTGAGTCGAACCAGGAGAGGCCCAGGACCGGGTTGGATAATCGTCGCCAGGTTCGTCGCGAAATGCGCTACACTACCGCTCCCCACATTCACATTCATGCATACACCTTCACATTCACGTGCGCAAACTCACCCGTGTACGTACACACACACACGTACAGGCTCATAGACGCAGATACACACACTGGCACGTGTGGATGCGTCCGTGCATGCATGTATCTACACGCACGTATGTGTGCATAATACACTGCGTGACTGTAGCAGATCGTAGAGCCGTATGTCGTATCTTCATTTGCGTGATTTAAACTGAGGGTCCCTCCTTGTTGTGTAGATGGGACGCGCTCCAGATGGACATCTGTGAAATACTGGACATTTTGTGGAAATGGCCAGTGCAAAAACACGATAAGATTGCAAAGTATAGGAAAGGTAAATAAAGTACGTTCGTATATATGATACACAGGGTATATAAACCAGCGTGCGCCCCTGTGCCACGACACCGCTGGCTGAAGGCCTCATGGCAGTTGCTTGATCACGCTTAACTCGCTACGCCGGCCAGTGCGGTTGTCTGCAGAGCAGCACCCAGGCCACCGGTTCAGATGAGACTCGCCACTGATGTTAGCCGAAGCCGGGAATCGAACTTAAAGTAGCCGGGTCAATGTCGCAGGGCCGGATCCACGGCGTCACAGCTCCACACGGAGGTCTATTTTATTGTAGAGCCATATTTAATAAATGCAACTGTACGCTCGATATTAGGGGCAGATGGCTGCAAATGCAACAGCGAGGTAGCGCAGGCAAGAGACGTGTAGCGATCGTCCTGAACGTTCTCGCCTTTATGCGAGACCCGATCGTCTTCAGTCCTCGGTAAGAACGTGAGTTGCGCGTGCGCCTCTTGTTTAAGGTTGTGCGCATTTCCATATAGGCGGGTTCAGATATCACTCGCCACTGATGATAGCCATAGCCGGGAATCGAACTCGGGGAGTGGGGGGGGGGGTCGTTCATAGCTAATCGCGAACCATTGCCGAGATCAACGCAGCCCTATAGGCCATCGTTGTCGTAGCGACAAGTCTCAGCGATGTGGAATCTTTATCAGTGGTTTGGCTACCGCCAAATGAACGTGAGCACCATCACCAAAAAATGTCAGGTTTGAGTCCAGGAGGAAGTTACTTTCCAGAGGGTTTGTGTGGCCGTGCGTGTATAGAGCCCTTCATAGGTGCTCACTAACAGCACTTGCCCCAGACAGTCTATTAAAGTCGAAACGGAGGGGGTCTCTGTTTTTTGTTTAGAGCCCTCACCATGGCTAACAGCAGCAGTGAGCGAGTTATATCTGAAACCGGTCCATGGGCTCCGCCTGTCTTCAACCCAACAAGAAGCGCTGCTCAGTGTGAAGTGTGGTCAAGCAACCCGCATGACGGACAGAAATGACAATTGTCTGAAACGTTATTTTCAGCCATCATCCCGGGGCTGTGGACGTTCCACGGTGCGAATGTAACACGCGAGGCGACGCTGCACGAGATCACGCAGTGGTACGGCCTGCTCGAGCAATGTAATCCGCTATATAATTGGCTTGCCCTACATTTGCTGAACTCGTGTTCACTTCTACAGTATGAATGCATGATACAAAAAAATGAGTCCTTTCTCAATCCACCGCTGGATGAAAGCCTATATCTGCGCTTCTTGATCACGTAGGTTGGTTGTTGACCATGCTGAGCCGCGTTGACCAATGGGGTTCGGTGAACTCGCGGAGCCCGTGGAGTTGTCCGTTCAAATGTCACTCGACAACAATGTTAGTCGTGACCGGACGTTTACGTAAAAAAATGTAATACGAAGTGCTTATGCAACTGTGCCCTCTGTTTTTTTTTTATCGTAGAAAGCATGCGTGTGTGTGCATCTATATTGAATAGGTTGATTGGGTGTGCGTGTGTGTGTATAAATGTCACCACTGGGGAGACAAAGACGGCTGGGCGTGTTGGTGTCCTCCAAGGCCGTAGCCATGGAGTCAACATTGGGGGGGACCAAATCTTCCAGAGGGTCTGGGGATCCCCCCCCCCCCAGATAAAATGTAAATTTTAAAATAATTTCCTGCCATTTACTGCCTAAAATATAAAAAATGTCACTAACACATAGGATGTATTTTTTTACAATAATATCTAATAGTGTTATTGTATTACATTCCTCCGTTTGTTTCTTTTTGTTACCTTTGCTTGCTTGTTTCATTGTATGTAATGGCAGAGATCAGGGATTAATAAAATACAACCATAATCACAATCATATAAACAGAAATCTATTTTATAGCAATATATTGGGGGGGGACATTTTGAGCATATTTGAATATTATAATTATATTATAATTACGGCGTTGGTATCCCTCCACCCCTCCGTGTGCGGTGCCGGCCTTGAGGTGTTCGCTTACAGCACTTGCCCCAATAGTCTGTTAAAAGCAATAGGGCAGACCTTCGTCTGTGTGTGTTTCTGCGTGTTTGTGTGTGGTCTGGGTTTATACGTGGTGTTGGTGTGTGTGTGTCTGTTTTTTTTATTTATTGTTGCGCTTGCGGGTTGGTACAGGGGGACGCGTGTAACACGTGATACATGTCACACACGTGTGTAACATGTGATGCATGTCACACACATGTGTGCTTGTGTATGTGCACGTGTGCGCGCGCTTTTGTGGCGATTTTAGTTTCCGATTAGCACTGCTGGCTACTGCGTAGGGTGCGAAAGCAGTTCTCCATGTGAGTAATCGGCGTGCATATGGGGAGCTGTGGATCCGTGGCTAGCGCACTGCGCTCCGGACACAGGGTCACGAGTGCAACGCTCATTTAAGGCCAACACCATTTGCCCATTATCCGGACCTGTCCTGGGTCTCCCCTAGGTCGACTCGGTGTTAACTAAGACACGGTGCGGTGTGTAAACAACAGCACTAGGGAGACAAAGGCGTGGTATTGGGCACCCACCGCCTCACGTGCCGGCCTTATTTAGCTGCTCGCAATTAACAATCCTTTAACGGCGGGCTATATAGGATATTCGTCTTTTGCATGGAGCTGTCTACGTGTGTGAGTTTGTAGTAAGCGTGAGTCTGATCTACATTTGCAGCACTCGCGATATCGATCATCGTATAAGTCGTAGGCGCAGTCGTTTGGGGTTTTGTGGTGGGAGGGCAGTGGATGGTAGCTCCTCCAAGCACGACGCGGGGAGTGGCGATGGTGATGACGATTATGAGAAGGTGGCGGTGCCTCGGGAAGGGGGCGGGAAGGAGCGGGTGCCTGGGCAGGGACGCGTTTTGTCGGCGTCTTAGCCAATAGCTCTCCCTTTTAGCATCACAACCCCCTCCTCCCCCGTCCCCACAGCCACCTACCTCCATCATCACCCTACCCCGAACACGCTCATCGAATGAGAAGATTGACGTCCAACCTGCCCTGAAAAAAATGGAGGGCGGGAGAGGTGGGGCCTTATTTCACCCAGGCACCGAGCCGCGGGGGTGTCACAGGAGGAGCGTAGAGGCGCGCGTGCGGGTAGTCGTAGGGAGCGCGGGTAGTCGTAGGCAGCGGGTGTCTGCGCTCTGCTTCCGCGGGCTGCACACGGGCACAGCACGCGCGGGCTGCTGTAGCCACGAATAGCCGGGTTGGGGAGCCGGTGGCCGCGTGCACGCGCGCGCAATTGGCCTCGCGTAAGTTTTTTTGTGCGCGGCGTTGCGAGCCAATTTCACGGCGACCTCGCATGGCAAACGGTGAGGATACGACCGGACGGTCAGACGTGACTGTGGAGGGATAACATTACGCATCATTCACGCACGCACACGCCTCGAGTGAAGGCTATCTATCGTGCGCGCGGTTTAGGTAGGGACGACAGACGCATGCGAATTGGATGGATTGACAGAACCATCCGTCACACGCGCGCAGTCGAGAGACACGGAGGGAGAGCGAGAGAAAGCGATAGACACCCAGGGGACACGCAGATCGCTTTTACGGTGACCCCAGCGGCGAGCCGTGAACTGTGGAGCGTTGCCCCCGAGGCCGGGCGAAAGTTGGCAAACCGCTCAAGTTTCACCGCGCCGGCCGCGACGATCTCCGCGAGCCATGGCTGAGTCGCCAGCGGCGCCGGGAGACGGCGGTGAAGCCAATGGATCCTCGTGCGGAGACGGAATCACCCCCCGCGACCCACAGCAGCAGCCGCCGCCGCCAGCGCCGCACAGGCCCACAGACTTCTTCATCGAGACCATCCTCAGCCCCGAGTTCGGGCGACGGCGGAGCGCCGATGTCGCCGGCGCTCCTGGTGCTGATGCTGGAGGTGGCAGCGGCGGCGGCGGCGGTGGTGGTGGTGGCGGTAGCAGTGGTGGGACGTTTTCCGGTCAGCGTGATGCCTTGCGGGGGGTCTTGGCAGCCGGCTCGCTGGAAGCCGTGGGCGCGGAGGTTCGAGTTCCGTCCGTGGGGCTCGGCGAGAGAGACGGAGGCGCGGCGCCCGTGGGCTCTCCGGCCGGGGCTTGTGGAGTGGGCGCCGGAGCCGCTGCGGGCGCGGACGGGCAGCCTCCGAGCGGGGTCAAACCGCTCATGTGGCCGGCTTGGGTGTACTGCACGCGGTATTCTGACAGGCCTTCGTCCGGTAAGTGTGCGTATTCCAACCATGCAAACGCACGCACACACACGCACACACACACACGCGCGCGCGCACAACAAAGCTCACCCGTATAGCCTTAACAGACTGTAGAAGCAAGTGTTGTTAGCGAGCACCTATGAAGGCTGGCACGCTGAGTGGTCAGCACCGCGCCAAGCCGCCTTTGTCTCACCACTGGCGATGTTTACACACCGCACCAGGTACTCATTTGAGGCTCATTAGACCTAGTTGAGGCCGGGGACCAGTTCAGATAATCATCACTGGTGTTGGCTGTGAGTGGGAATCTAACTAGGGTCGCCGGGTTCGTAGCGCAGCGTAGCGCTAACCACTGCACTACCGCTCCCCATACACGTGCGCACGCACACCTACACACCGACAAGCACCCACGCGCGTAAGAAGAGCTCCCATGCCGCGCTGCAGCGAGTGGAGTTTCTGCAGTTGGGGCTGCGTGCATGAGACCGCGTGATAGGGTTCGTGCCGCTTTGCAACGGCAGCCCGTGTGCCTGTGTGCACACACACGCGTGTGCCTGTGTACACACACACGCGTGTGTGTGCACGTGTGCGGCTGGAGAAACACACCGCCGCAGCGCAGCGGTTAGCGCGTTGAATTACGAACCCGGCGACCAGAGTTCGATTCCCACTTGAGGCCAACGTCTGGGCCGATTATTTGAACCGGCGCCGGGCGTCCCCTAGGTAGACTCGGCCTCAAATGAGTACCTGGTGCGATCTGTAAACATCGCCACTGAGGAGACAAAGGTGGCCGGGCGTGATGCTCGCCGTGCCGCCCATCAAAGGCGCTCACTAACAACACTTGCCCCAATAGTCTATTAAGGTTATAGGGCCGATCTTTGTCTTTGTATACACACGCGTGTGACTATGCCTATCACCAGCAGCAGCCAACGATCAATCCACTGCTGGATGAAGGCCTCGCCAAGCCTATGTGTGCATGTATATTTAGCCTCGTATATGTCGTACTACAAAGGCGTAAGTGGATATGGTTTGATAGACTTTCATATATATACATGCCATTCTTGAACGTATGTGCACGCTACATGCACGCGTGATTCCATACGCCTAAGTGGACATGTATAGTTACACTGCAGGCATTATATAAATGTGGCGATATAGACGCATATGTTGCTATGTATACGTAATATCGTATATCGGTGCAAGCACACGAATCTGTGTAAGATATCTTATCGATGACTGTCTCTCCGCATGTAATCCTCAGCTTGCAACGTGTATACTAATATTGTTTATATATAGCGTCGATTTGTGCACGAATCACAAGACCTAGGAATTAGGTTCACCAATTATCTCATTGTACATACTATGTCATATTTTAGTAATACATTTCCGATTATTATAATTTTTAAAATCCTTTAAATGGTCAAATAATACTTTCCATAAACCAAAAATATATCTAACGAATTATTTATACAATTTTAACAAATATATATGATCGGATCACGTAAACAATTACTACAACTTGGCTCATTTGCTTTAGTCATATTTTAGCCGGAGAAAACAATCAATTAATTTACAGCCAAAGTATCAATCCACTGCTGAATGATAGCCTATCATGATGATAATTTTTAATGAACATTTAATTACGGTCGAACATACCGCGATTCTATCGAAACCTATCCGAGTTTGTTGTCACAACACAACGTCAATTGAATATTATAGGGCATGGCTAAAACCACGAACACGATTTGAGCATCGTTTTTAAATTGAAACAAATTATATTTCGAAGGATAAAGAGTTTATTTCTTTTTTTTCTCGAGAACACATCTCGACGATTTAACAACCTGAATTCACCCATGAGCGTTGACGATTTGGTCTGTTGCGCGGAACACGGCCCGTATAGCCTCGCGTTTTTCATTGCAACATTCAACTCTTAACACTTAAGTACTCACTTTTTTTTACCAGGTAAGGCCCACTAAGCTATATAGCTTTTTAAGAAGCAACCTGGTCACAAATGATAGCTCAACAGAAGTGGCTTATCTTGTGGAAATTGATAGCAGCCAAATACTCTAAAAGGCGTGTTGATTCTAAATATGGAGGGAAACACCAGAGGACACGGAAAAAAAATCCACGCGACCACGGAGAGAGAGAGAGACCGCAAACTCCAAATATACAGCAGGCGGGTGGACAGCACCACGCCCGACCGCCTTTGTCTCCCCAGTAGCGATGTTTGCACACAGCACCATGTACTCATTTGAGGCTGAGTAGAACTAGAGGAGGCCCAGGACCGGTTCAAATAATCGTCACCGGTGTTGGCCGTGAGCGGCAATCGAGCCCGTGTCGCCGGGTTCATAGCGCAGCGTAGCGCTAACCGCTACACCACCGCTCCCCACCTTTATACAATCACACACACACACACACAGTACATGTCACGTCTCTGCCTTCCTACCGACGTGGGGTGTGCACAAGGCCTGATGGGAAGGGAAGCTTCAGTGATCGCCCGCTGTCGTCGTAAAATCGGTTGCGCACGTTGGGGAAAGTTGTCGGGCGTCTATCCGCGCTCCTCGTGGCGTCAAAGACGCCCTGTGGGAACCGCACAATGCCACTCGCGGCGCTCATAGCCACGTAACATTTACCGTAAGCAATAAGCTTACGGTAAATAATAATACACATCATCATCATCATGGCAACATCGCCGTTGACCGGGACAACAATAATACGTGTTAAAACACTTCATTGACAGTATTCCAAGTATGTAGGAGCATCGCAGAGGTTTTAAAGACTTAATGAGGTCCGTTGCGTTCGAGTTCACACTTCTATAAGCCTTCCTGTGCCTCTGCGTGGTGCAATGATTGGGTTTTTGCGGTCACGTAAACGCCCTCTTAATGTTTTGTCATTACGGAGAAGAAACGCTAAGCGAGCGCTTGCCCGTATTTTTTTGTATCGGCTTTTGGGTCGCAATACATTCTTATAAAGTCAAAAAACAACAACTCACGGCTACATTTGCGTTGATAGAGACCACGGAAGGCGCATTACTTGGGTACAATTTAAAACTCTGGGTTCACCCTGCCCCTATACGGGCGCCCGAATTTGAACTTTTTTTTTGTCGAATGTTATAAACACAAGCAGATACACGTGACTATATTTGTGTCCAAATGTAAAGACGTTAGCCCTTCACGAAACCATCATTCGAATGAATGTACACGAGCCAGTCACAACTGTCTCTGTGCGCGTGCTCGGTATGTGTTTGTGTCCGTGTGGATACTCTAACCAGATGCGCGCTAGTTACGACGATACTCTCGATAACAACTGCCCGTTACTATGTTTCGCCCGTTACCATCACACGCGATAACGTACTGTGTATGTCGTACTGTCAGTGTCTCTTGGTGGAGCGGTGGCGCAGCGGTCCGCACACTACGCTGGCAGACTCGTTATCACGAGTTCCATTTTCCGGCCACGGCTAACATCAGTGGCAAAGTGATAGCCGAACTGGTCCTGGATTCCACCCCGTTCACCAAGCCGTACAATGATCAGCGCGTGGTAAAATATGGTCCAACAACCCCCGAGAGGAGGAGGCATTAAATCCAGCAGTGGAATAATAAACATTTTGCTGTGAAGAGAGAAAAAAAACGAGTGCTGCCCAGGGCGTTAGACAAAGTCTTAATAGGCGCACCAATTCAACGTATGAGCCGCGTTGGCAGCGTTACATTTGCGAAGTCCAACCTGAAATCACACGGCTACTGCAAACACGTGCGCGGCAAGAGACTTCACCGAGTGTGGCTGGGGGAGACGGTAGTGTAGTGGCTAGCGCATCGCGCTACGAACCCGGCGACCCGAATTCGCTCGCAGTTCACCGCTGACATCGGTGGCGAATATCTGAACCGGCCGTGGGCTCTTCCCTTAGGTCGACTGGGCCTCAAATGAGTAACTCGTGCGGTGGTTAAACCATCGGCAATGGGGAGACACAGGGGGCGGTCCGATGTGGTTGCTGGCCACCCCCTCGCGTGCCGTGCTGGCCTTCATAGGTGCTCGCGAACAGCACTCGCTCCAACAGTCTGTTAAGGCTATGTAAGGGATCTTTGTTGTCAAGTTTTATAGATGGTCTTATGCGTCTGTGTAGGCGCTACGTGTCTATGTATGTGTTGCTTATTTACGCACGTGTTCATGCGTATTATTTCATTATGTGTGTGTAGCGGTTAGCGCGCCGCGCTACGAACCCGATTTCGATTCCCGCTCACGACCAAAATTAGTGACGATTGTCTGGGCCGGTCCTGGGCCTCCCCTAGGTCGACTAAGCCTTAAATGAGTACCGGGTGTGGCGTGTAAATATCGCCACTGGGGAGGCAAAGACGGCCGGGGGTGGTGCTGGCCACCCACCCCCTCGTGTGCCGTTCTGCCCTTCATAGGTGCTCGCTAGCAGCACTTTTTTATATACATATACTGCCGTAATATACCGAGCTCGCTATGGGCATGCATGCACACATACAGCACATACGCTGTATGTGTGTGCGCAACGCCGGGTCACGTTTTGGAGAAATGTTTCTTTCATCTGATCTTTGGGGAATGGGGGTCATTGCTCGGAACGTTAGCCCGCAATGAACGTGTCTGTTCTATGGGGCAGCAATAACACCTCCCGTGAACCCCGCAATTACGCGCGTAATTGCGGGGTTCACGGGAGGTGTTTTAGCGAGTCACGTGCAGTCGCTCGCACACGATGCTCACTTCGCTGCTTGCGCACGTCCGTAAACATAACAACAAAAGTTCGCTCGTTGGACCAGCGATTGATTTCCTCGGCGTGGGATACGATGAGTTTGTCGTTTAAAACGAGAACAATGTTAATACACAGATTAACTATTTTTACTTTGTTCAATACAAAAAATATACGTGCATAATCGGCCACGTTTCGGGCAATTACCCTTGTGCTCTTAGGAATGAAGATTTACAAAAACATCCGGGGATTATGATTTGTTTATTTTAAGGCCACGGTGTTATTGACGAATGCGAGTTTTGTTGTTTTCACACCTCGC